AATGAGACTGACTAGTGAATACAAAATAACTAATTCACATTCCTATATTAAATTAAGAGACTATGTTTGCGTCAAGTAAACTATATTTTATGTTAAGCAAGTTGGCATAACTGCAAGACTTACAAGTAAAGAATAAGAAAATGCCTTGAACAATGTATGACTAAATGTACAAAGAATAAAAAATGCATCGTATGAAAATCAATTAGAATGTTGAATTCAACATGAATGACTAAACCCTTTTCCAGGCTGATAAGTAATCTTCATTCATGAATGAAGATTACTTATCAGCCTGGAAAAGGGTTTAGTCATTCAGTTCCTTTTTTAATTCCAACTGATACAATTAAAACAATAAAATATTTAGCTTCGGCTGATATTAGAAGTCAGATTTATATTAAGAAGGATATTAGAAGTTTCAGCAAAAAACCTATTTTTTTCCTAGTACCCAACTCTAACAAAAATTCCTTCAGATAACCATCAGCTTTTTTTAAAGGCAAAGCATCTTGAAGCTTTTGATCAAAACTCCTGTACGTATAAATATATTTTGATTTGTTTGAATAGTTTTTAAAAAAGCAATTTTAATTTTTTTTTTTATGTATTTTTATAAGAAATATTGTTACGAGAAAAACAAGAGAAGCCAATAAATTTACTAAAGTTTTTTTAACAAGATTTAAAAATTTAAAAGTAGCGCTGCAAGCAGTTTAAATGAAGCAGGTATCTTATTAACTATTTTATTTTTCTGGCATATTTTTTATTTGTTATAAAAAAATAAAATTTATTTGCACCTTAAATTATTTTTTTATACTGATTATTTTTATTTGGTATTTAAATAACTTTTATTAATATTCTGTGCACAAGTTTCATAAAAAATAAATGAAAACATTTTCTACTAAATACGTAAGCAGTTTAAGCAAATCGAAATTCGAATTTAAAACTAATGATAATCAAATAAATCAAAGTGAAGAAAGTCTCAGGTATAAGTTTTATTGCAAATTATGCACAAGGTGGACTGATTCTATATTTATATTACAACTTACTTCATTTAAGAGATTTTTTAATTTTAATGATCACATTAGAATAAAAAAAAAAAAAAGTTTAATATATAAAGTAACATTAATTTTGAAAGTTTATGTTTGATTCAATAGCACCTAAAACGGATGTCTATGCCCTCATTCCTACAATACAAGAGTAGAAAAAAATAACCTACATAATAATCAAATGGATGACCTTATTTAGTAGCTTATATTGGCTCCCCACTTTTTAATTTAGCTCCGCTGCCGCTGTTTAGCTCATATTTGTATGATATAAAAAACTATAAATCACTTGTTTTCATATTTCTTTTGCTTAACCTGTTATAATAATTCTTCCATATGCACTGAAGCAATATTACTTATATATGCATTCTAAGCAAAAACGTAAATAGTTATTTTCTATATAACTATTGAGCAATTTTTGACAATTTAACTTTTAATAAATGTGTTTTAAATTTTCAGTTTTCATTTTATTGTATTTAGGCATAAGGAGATTTCGGGGCATTTTAATAAACTTAGACATATGTGAAAACTTAGGTCGGAAGTATATTCAATTTAGTAATAAAAGTGAGAGCATTTATTTAGAGTTTTCTGAAGTATGTTAGTTTAATCACAGGGTATCCAAGTAAGTGCATGTTAGATAAATGAAAATTTTGAATGTTTTATTTAAAATTGAAAGTTTTATATTAAAAGATTTATCTTTTTAATACAAAATTATGATTAAATTTCATCAATTAAGGTGAAATAAAACAAAAAGTAAAGGGTAGATGTTAAAACATTTAATAAACTTTTTTTAATTTTATATCACTTGTAACAAGGTGCTGTTTTATTTTTATTTTATTTTCGATTTGAGTAAAAATCTTTGAATCTTTATTACACCACGTATCTTTTCTTTTCAGATCGACAAGAAATGATTAAGTTAGGATCAAAATACGGGTTTGACCCAGATACTGTTGAAAAAAAAATCATTAAGTTAATGATTTTGTTTTTAACAGTATCTGGATCAAACCCGTAACCTGGGCCAAACTATCTTTTTGTTCTTCCGTTAATGATTAACGAAAGAACAAAAAGATGCGAATCTTTTCCGAAGACCAAACAACATTCAAATGTAATTTAAAACAATTCGAAATAAAATTTAAACTTTGAAGTAATGTTTTTCAATTAACTTTTTACCGTAAGTTTTCATTTAAAAAACTTTTTAAGTAATTTCCTGGAGCACCGCGATACCCGTGATAAAAACACACACAATTCTACTACTACTACTATACTTTTTTTTACATTGGCCTATGTATTTATAAGAATTGTTATTCGACTTTTAATAAAAAAAATTTCATCGAAAACGTTAATTTAAGAAAGTTAAGAAATATGTAATTCCCAATTGAACAAGAAGCCATTTCATTAGTTTTCAAAAAAAAAATATTCAAAATTTATGTTAGACTGATTTTTGTAGTATCGACTTTCCGCTATATATATACATACATACATATATATATATATATATATATATATATATATATATATATATATATATATATATATATATATATATATATATATATATATATATATATATATATATATATATATATTATATATATATATATATATATATATATATATATATATATATATATATCCCTTGAAATTTTACCCAAATCTTAAAATAATTATAATTTCGAATTTTATTATTTAAAAGTAGAAGAAATCAGACGAAGAAATCAAGTTTTTTCCGTAAAAAGCAAAGAAATAAATTTGATCTCAATTTAAGATTTTTTTACAATGTATACAAGTGCTTTAAAGTAATTTTTTAGCTACATTTTTGTTTTTGTATAGATTTTATATTAATTTTAAGATTAAAATAAAAAAAAGTATCAATTATCTTTTAATTATATTTTAAGATTAAATCAATTATATTTTAAGATTAAAATAAAAAAAAGTATCAATTATCTTTTAATTATATTTTAAGATTAAAATAAAAAAAAGTATCAAAAATCTTTAAAGAAAGCCAATTAGACAAGATACCTTAGTGGACTTGACTTTACGGTAATTTATGCAAATTTCAAAGTAACGGTTAGTTCACTTGACGACAACTTCAGGTCAACAAGTTAGGAAGACTTCAAACACGTCCATTACCGACGTTTTGAATTTTAGTCTTTCTTATTGGAATTTTAAAAGAAAATTTAAATCGGAGTTTTACTACGTTGACATATTTATATAAAGTACTATAAAAAATAACTGGCATAAGCTGAGCTGGAAAAGACCTGGTATAATTAGCCAAAGCAACAATTTATTGCACCTTATACTTTCATTTTATAATTTTAATGAACTTCTAAATTGTATAGGTATCGATATACTTCCGTACTGTGGACGATGAGTTTCAAATTAATGAGTATTTTTGTGGATTTTATTTGGTAACTATAGCTAAAAGCAAGGGTCAGTTTTTTATTATGAAAAACGTCCTTCTTCGTTCCAACTTCGTTCTTCGTTCCAAGGTTCGAGAGCAGTTGGGAACAATGCTATGATTGAGCTGCTGCATTTCTTCTGAAACAGCTGGCTTACAAAAACTTGTTCTTTAACAAGAAAACAGAGCCCTTTATCTTCAATGCAGAGCTCTTAGTTTCAATTATTTAAAGATTCTTTGCGTACAGTCAGGTTTTAAAACACTTTTTGATGCGGCAACTAAATCTGCTAAAACGATGGATTTAGACTAACTAGCTCTGCGCATGAAGAAGAAAGTACCTACAAGATTTAAAGTCGGCTTCAGGGATACTTATTACCAATCAAAATGAGGTCTACAACCAGTTATACTTTTCCAGTATAAATGCAGTTTTAGTCGGCCTCACCGATTGACAACAGTTGTTAAATGACGGCCTCGTCATTTAACAACAGTTGAAGAGTTTGTGATTGGATCAAATAAAACTGAATGCAGTATCGACTACATAAAAAACTTCTACGCAAAGACAATTTTCCTAATTACCAAAGAACGAGCTTCACGGGTACCTCTTCATTGACAAGGCTAATAGAAAAAAAAGTTAAATTAAAAGATTTTCAATCAGTTCTAGATTTCATCTGCGCTAAAGAAAAAAATGGATTGAAAAGCATTGCCTCGGAAATTGTTTAAAAAAAATAGTTTTGTTCCAGCCAGTGACAATTTGTCTCTGGCTGGACCAGAACCATCATTTAGTAGTCTGCGTAGACCAAAAACTTTTCTTCAATCGACAATGAGCTAGGAAAGGCTGAACGCTGTTTCTATAATGGATACCTATAAAAAAATTACCTGTGTCTTAAAATAGATTTTTCGTTAGAAATGTTTATTGAAAAAAACAAAATGCGCCGTAGAATGTTTTATTTGGAAACCAAGTAAAATTCCATCTCTACTTGTTTTACTTTAATTTCGTGATGCTTGTTAACCATAATCAAAAGTTGTTATTTTTTTATTTCTATATCAAAAATAATATACACTGGATAGTAGATATACATTGATCAAAAAAATCGAATCTTTAACTTTTTGCCCCTTTGGAAGTTTGAGTACTCTACACCCATGTATATATATATATATATATATATATATATATATATATATATATATATATATATATATATATATATATATATATATATATATATATACATATATACTTTTTTAAGAACTTGAAATTTTTGTCTTTTGTCTTATTCTGCCCTTTAGTGCCCGGCAGCTATGCAAAACATTCGTTAATTTATTACTTATAAGTTGTTGAATAATTAAACGGATTAGCCGTAATTTTCAGCCAATCCTTTTAATTATTCAATAACTAATATTAGGCAAATATATTAATAATTAAAAAGATTGTTTGTAATTAAAGCCGATTCTCTTAATTATTCCACAATTAACCATTAAAGTTAGATAAATTTAAAAAATATATAATAATTATAAAAGCTTTTAATATCTTAACGGTTTTATTTTATAACTTTAGATTGCTTCGTAATGGTTTAGTAATTGCTCAAAAAGTTATTCAAATAGTGTAAGATGAAGTGTCGTGATGCGCGCCGCCCACAACAGAATTTGAAGTCAAAAATTTTATTTCAATCGTTTTTCCAAGTCTCCAGTACAGTCAGTGTCTGCGGCGCCCACAATTAGCACCCAACGTTATTGGTAACTGCTGAAAAAGTAAACTATGTAAACACTTAAATTTAGTTATTTAGCTTCAGTTAATCCTTATCTGTCAGATAGACAAGCTTGGTTGTATTTTGTCATTAAATTGTCTGACAAGCAAATATTTTTTTATTTGGTTATTAACTAGTTAAAAAATCTGACTTAATAGATTTTCTTAGAAATTTAAATGGTTTTAAATTACGTTCAGGTAAACGGAGGAATAAATTAAATTGACAGCAAATTTAGTAAACGTTTCAGTATTTTTTATATTTATTTTTATATTATATTGCTTAAATATTCAAAATATAAAAGTATAAACTTCAAAAGTCTAAAATGTGGTAATTTCTTTTTGGTGTTTTACAGAAAAATCTCAGTGAGTAATTTCTATGAATGAATTACTCTTGTAAAAAACATGTAGTGAAAAGATGAAAGGTTATTACTTTGATTAATTACTCTAATTTTAAAATTGCTTTTTTGATAATCATCAAGCTATATTCAATTTTAATTAATTTTGCTTCATCTTTTTAAAAAATTTATCGAATGTAATTTTTTTTTGGCTACATTTTTTAGCATTTTTGACTTTAATCCTGTTAATCTAATCATTTTTAAAAATGGAATGTAACGAGTCTTCCGATCATTTTCATCTCCAGCCTCATGTTGATTCAAATGCACATAAGTCAATAAGCATTCTAGAAGCTCCACCTCTTGATGTCAAAGAAAGTAATTTTATAAGCAGTATATTAGTAAGACGAAATCGTGAAAGTTTATCAACAAAAGACCTCCATAAGCTTAAGGAAATAACTAGAAAAAACATACCACCGTTTCAACGGTCTCACTTTTGGATAATGTTTAGTGGAGGACTTGAAGTTAAGAAAATTACGCCAAATTTGTATAAAGATGTTTGTGATGATTTACTGAAAGATAGTAAGTTTTGAGTGTCTTTTTTAGTTCAAGGAAAAAGTTAGCTTTCTTTATTAATTATATATTTTGATGATTTGTTTTAATGTGTGGTATGTAAATATTTATAGTTTAAATATTACTAAATTGTATAATTTTGTAGGTAGATATGGTTTATATATATATATATATATATATATATATATATATATATATATATATATATATATATATATATATATATATATATATATATATATATATATATATATATATATATATATATATATGTATATATATATATATATATATATGTATATGTATATATATATAATTTAATTTTATATAAGGCATGTACCAGAAAAAATCTACACATATTCTAATGTAGTGTTAACGGAAACTGTGCATTAACTAATTGTTTTAAAATGTCATTGCATTGATATTATTCAAAATTTAAAAAACTCTGTTATCGAAACAATTAGTTTTAATTGAAATGTCATCAAATCAAGATAAGAAGCAAGAAAAAATTTTACATTTTCTGATTGAAAATCCATCAATATCAAACAAAACAATTTCTTAAAAATTGCAGATTGCTTTTAGAACATTGCAGAGCTTTATGAAACAATTTAATGACAATCAAACAGAAATCAGGAAGTGGGAAAAAAAAGTTTTTGTTTAACGAAATCTTGTTAAAAAAATATTATTCAGCAATTAATCACAAGAATTTTGTAAATAATATGGGACAATTATAAGACTGCCATCTACCAAATTTAAACACTGCTATCCACCAAATTGTCTCAAATTACGTCCTATCGAAAGATATTGGGCTATTGTCAAAGGAAAACTAAGGTTCAATGTAATAGTAGCTAAAAACATTCAAGAATTTAAAAATAAATGGATTACCAAGAAAGTCCAGCCAAAAACTGTGCAATAGCTGATGTCAAATATAAAAAATAAACAGATTACCAAGAAAGTCCAGCCAAAGACTATACAAAAGCTGATGTCAAATATAAAATGCAAAGTGCATGTGTTCTCGTGTACATAACTTCACAAACTTACTTAAGTAAAATTTTAATATATGTACTTTCAAAATTTATATAACATTCAATATCGAAATAGAATAGTTGACTTATTATTAATTAAAGTATCTGCGCAGATTTTTTCTGCTACATGTCTTATATAATAAAAATTTTCAATGAGTTCTAAATCATTTATGGAGTTGACAAAAAAGTGGCTCTTATTTTAACCTAAAGAAGTGTAAGATTATGTACATTAGAAAAAAATCCATAGATACAATTGAATCAGTGTCTTTAAAAGGGAGGATTTGCTGAAAATTCTTTAGGCAAATCTGCCCTTTTATAAAACACTGATTCTATTATAAAATGACTGATATAGATACAGGCGCTAATACAATTTTATCAAAAACAAAAAGTGAATTTGTTCTTAGTGTGATTTTATCAGAAGATTTACAATGGGAACAGCGCGTTAAAATGATAGCAGTTAAAGTAAACAAAAAATTTGGTCTAATAAAATACAGTTTTAAAAACCGCAACCTAAATTCAATAAGACTATTGTATACATTGCTGGTTTGTTCCCTTAATATGCTTCTTTAGTCCGGAATTCATACTATGATAAAGATGTAAAACAAATAGAACAAGTTCAGAGGAGAGCCTCAAGAATTAAAATCAAAGGAGACAAAAACATGAGGGAAGATTAGATATTTTTAAATTAATATTATTAGAAGATGGGCATCATCGGAGCAACATAATTCAGTTTTTAAATTTTACAAAAGTATAGACAAAATTAATTAACTTCATCCAAAAGAAAAAGCGATTTCAGTAAACACCTCATGGACACGAGGACCAAAACGGTTTATAAAAAATACCTCACAGACACAAGGGCCAAAACGATTACAGAAAATACCTCACGGATACAAGGACCAAAAAAAAGGAGAAAAAAAATGACCAAAAGATCTTTCTAAGCGGTGTTTCAAGCACAGCAATGTGCACTTTTTTTACCCCATGAACAATTAACTCATGGAAATAATATTTGAGTAATTAGTGTATATAATTGTATTATATATAAACTATTAATGTGTTGCGTCAGAAGGAATGTTGTGGGCGCGTCGCATATTATATTGTATATAACATTTATACTGTTTATTATACCCTCGGGGGTATTTGGAATGTATATATATTGAGTAAAGATATTCTGAAAGACAGAAAGAAAAAACAAATATATATTTATTATTACAAGCTATTTTGGCAATGAGTATCAATATAAAGTTTGCGGATTTGGTGTCACAGTACGATGGTTCAAGTGATTTTTCAGAATGGATACGGAAATTGGAACTGGTAGCAAAACTTCAAAAAGTTGACGAGCTTCATGTGGTGCTCCCCTTATTTCTTTCTGGCGGGGGGTCTGCCGTTTATCAAGGTCTAAGTGATGAGATAAAAGAAGACTACACTGAAGTAAAAACTGCACTGACTACTGCCTTCTCTGCTTCTCCACCAACAGCAAACGAAGAGTTCGTTAATTGCCGTTTTAAAGAGAACGAGTCTGTTGACGTATATCTCTCAGAATTAACAAGACTGAGCAAGCTAATATCATGTCACATAAGTAAAGAGTGGATAAGGTGCGCATATATTCTTGGATTACCTGACAAAGCAAGAAAACAGCTGCAAACTGCATGCTCAATATCGACAATGTTGCTGTCCCAGAGTCGCTTCCCACAAAATTTAAAACTGCCAACTCTCTGCATATATGTCAATGGAAGAAAAATAAAAGTATTGTTGGATACTGGATGCTCCAAATCAAATTTAAGTCGGGATATTGTAAACATAAAAAATGTCAAACATGCAAGTGAAAAGGAAAGGTTGTTATGGTGAATGGAAAGTCAATTGTTGTTGATCTTTCTATAAATTTGATTGCACTCTTTTAGATGTTCTCTGATCAAATTGACCATGCCCTCTCTCTTTACCCCTCTGCCAATATTGTTGTTGTTGGTGATTTTAATGCCCATCACACTGAATGGCTTGGCTCTAACACCACTGATCCTGCTGGCACTAAAGCCTTTAACTTCTGCGTTTCTCAATCTCTTACTCAGATAGTTAACTTTGTGACTCGTTTTCCTTACAACCCTAATCATTTACCTTCACTCCTTGACTTATGTCTTGTCTCTGACCCTAGCTTATGTTCAGTTTCTCCCTTTTCTCCCTTAGGTGGTTCTGACCATGCAATGATCTCTATAAATCTTTCTTCTCGTACTTCTTTTTTGGGCTCACCTTATCATCGCACCACCTACTACTACCCTAAAGCTGACTGGGATTCCTTTCGTAATTTTCTTTGTGATGGTCCTTGGGCTTATGTTTTTTCTTTCTCAGCTGACAAATGCGCCTCCTACATAACCTCCTGGATTCAGGCTGGAATGGAAGCTATTATTCCTTCGCGTCGGTTTCAAGTCAAGCCTCATTCTACTCCATGGTTTTCTCCTTCTTGTGCGGCTGCTATATCCAATCGTAATCATTTTTTTCATCTTTTTCAAAAGAACAACTCTCTTGAGAACAAACGGCTATTTATTATTGCAAGAAATCGATGTAAAAAGGTGCTTTCTGATGCTAAACTCCATTATTCTCAGTTCACTAAATCTCGCATCTTATCACAGAAGTTAGGCTCTAAAGACTTTTGGAAAATCTTCAACAGCATTGTTAACAAGGGTAGATATAACATTTCATCTCTCATTCATGGGACTGATCTTATTACCTCTCCCAAGAATAAGGCAGAACTATTTGCAAAGAACTTTTCTTCTAATTCCACTCTTGAATCTTATGGACATTCTCTTCCTTCCATTCCAGTCAAACAGGTTGACCCATTGTTAGACATTCAAATCACTCCGGCTTCTGTTGCTAAAGTCATATATCAATTAAACTCGTCTACAGCTTGTGGTCCAGACAACATTCCTGTCACAGTCTTGTAGAATTGTTCTCCAGAACTTTCTTCAATTCTCTCTAAACTATTTAACAAGTGTTTGACTGAGTCTTGTTTTCCTGCTTGTTGGAAAACGGCATCTGTGGTTCCAATATTCAAAAACTCTGGAGAAAATTCCGACCCCTCCAATTATCGTCCGATCAGTCTTCTTTCTGTTATTAGCAAGGTCTTTGAGTCTTTGATCAACAAATTCCTCACATCTCATCTTGAGTCAAATAAACTGCTGTCAGACAATCAATACGGTTTTCGATCCTCTCGCTCTACGGCCGACTTGCTAACTGCTGTAACTGAAAGATTTTATTGTGCATTAGATGGAGGCGGTGAGGCTAGGGCTATTGCTCTCGACATATCTAAAGCTTTCGACAAAGTTTGGCATGCTGGTCTTCTCCATAAGCTTGCTTCATATGGTGTTTCTGGGAAAGTTTTTGAGATTATCAAATCATTTCTTTCTAACCGGTTTATTAATGTCATCCTTGAAGGCCAACACTCTTCTTTATTTCCAGTAACTTCTGGGGTTCCCCAAGGTTCCATCCTGTGCCCTGTTTTGTTTCTTATCTACATAAACAATCTTCCTGACAACCTTTCATCTAAAGTAGCTCTTTTTGCTGATGACTCAACTTTATACTCCTGTCTTGACAAAAGTCTTCTCTTTTGGATCGCCTAGAACAAGCAGCTGATCTTGAATCTGATCTCACTTCAGTAATAGATTGGGGTTCACAGTGGCTTGTGAATTTCAACTCTAAAAAAACCCAGTTGCTTACTGCAAACAACTACCGTAATATGGTCAACATTCCTATATTAATGAATGGCAATCCTCTTACTGAGTCGTCCTTTTTACGTTTTCTTGGATTATCCCTTACTACTGACCTTTCATGGAAACCATATATACAATCGATTGCTAAATTAGCTTCTGCTAAGGTTGCTTCTCTTTATCGTGCTCGCCATTTCCTTACTTCTGATTCCATTCTCTACCTCTAGAAATCTCTTATTCGTCCCTGTATGGAATACTGTTGTCATATTTGGGCTGGTTCTTCTAACGA